ACACCTGACATCTAGAAGCTGAGTGACTTCGAAAAATTAATGTAACACCTCTATACCTCACTTTCTTTCCATTAAATGATGATGAGGTAACAATACCTACAGCTGGGTTATCATAAGGTTTAAATGAGATGAAGTGGTTAGAATAGTGCAGAGAACAGTGAACATGAAATGTGTTAGCTATTGTTATTGCTATTTAACCAATGCTATTGTTTGTTTGTTTGTTTTTGAGACAGAATCTCACTTTGTGGCCCCTGGTAGAGTGCCATGGCGCCATAGCTTACAGCAACCTCAGACTCCTGAGCAATTCCTCCTTGAGTAGCTGGGACTACAGGAGTCTGCCAGCAATGCCCAGCTGTTTTAGAGGTGGAGTCTCTCTCTAGCTCAGGCTGGTCTCAAACTCATAAGCTCCAGTGATCCGCACACCTCAACCTTCCAAAGTGCTGGGATTACAGGTGTCAGCCACCACACTTGGCCCCAACGCCATAGTTTTGAGTAAGAGACCTTTCTGTGCCTTGGTGATCTTGCTAGCCTATTGGCACTGTCATGGTGGAGTGGTCAAAGTTTACCAGATAAAGTGATTCTGTCAAGAACTACCGACTTGAATATTTTAAGCCGCCAAATGTTCTAAACTTTGCACCTTTTTTTTTTGCAGTTTTTGACCAGGGCTGGGTTTGAACCCACCACCTCTGGCATATGGGGCCAGTGCCCTACTCCTTTGAGCCATAGGCACTGCCCGTTTGTTTGTTTGTTTGAGACCAACTCTCGCATTGTCCTTCTGGCTAGCGTGCTATGGTGTCATAGATCACAGCAACCTCAAACTATGAAGCTCAAGTAATACTGGTGCCTCATCCTCCCAAGTAGCTGGGACTATAGGTGCCAGCCACAAACCCAGGCTAATTTTATTTTCAATAGCGACAGGGTCTTACTCTTGTTCAGCCTGGTTTAGAACTCCAGTACTCAAGTAATTCACCTGCCTTGGCCTCCCAAAGTGCTAAGAATACAGTTTTGAGCCACCACTCTCCACTAGAGGGGAACTTAAAAAAAAAATCTTTTATTTTAAATTATTATGGGTACATAATATTTGTATATGTTTATAGTGTACATGTGATGTTTTGATACAGGCATCATCAAATCATGGTTACTGTGTATCCATCACTTCAGGTATTTAAATTCTCTTTGAATTAGGAACATTCCAACTCCACTTTTATTTATTTATTTTTTTCTTGAGACAGAGTTTCACTTTGTCATCCTGGGTAGAGTGCTATGCCATCATAGCTCATAGCAACCTCAAACTCTTAGGCTTGAACAATCCTCTTGCTTCAGCCTCCTGAGTAGCTGTAACTACAGGTACCCTCCACAACACCCAGCTAGTTTATTTTTCCTAGAGACAGGGGTCTCACTCTTGCTCATACTGGTCTCAAACTCCTTAACTCAGGCAATCCACCCACTGTGGCCTTCCTGAGTGCCAGAATTACAGGTGTGAGCCAGCATGCCTGGCCTGGAAACATTTTCTATAGCATGAAATGTGAGGGAGTCACTGTACAGTCTCT